TTGTTCTCGATGAGGCAGAAATCTAAAATGAGAGGGCTACACTCCACACTTCTCTTGTCCTTGTCCGGCACGGCTGACGGCGGCCGGCGCGGCGCGGGTCTCCCTTCTTTTCTTCTCCTTACCAATGATTGAACAAGGACAAGAGAAGTGTGGAGTGTAGCTCTCTCACTTTAGATTTCTGCCTCACCGAGAACAATAGGGCGCGCAGTCTATCTTATAAGTCTATGGGCTCTTCGCGCTCACTTCACAGGTGAATGTATGTGAAGTGAGCGCGAAGAGCCGCACATACGACACGCTACGCTCCTGCGTACTCCGGCTAAACGCGATCTGATTGATTAACTTTATTCGTTAATAACTCTGTAAATAATGGTCTGAGCCAAAATTGAAAGAGGAACTTTTAGTTTAAAATTTCATTCTCTTTCACGCCTTGAAATATTAATTAAGCGTTACGGGACACCCTGTATAAAAACTCCTATTGCATAGCCTTTGGCCTCCAGCTGACTCCCGATCGCGCTCACAAGGTGCAAGGCAGTGTCAGTCGATCTGCCCTCCTTATAGGCGTACTGGGAAGCAGATAAAGGCCTTTCAATCAGCGGTCCTGTTTTCAGAAACCTATCCACCAGTCTTTCCAGAATCTTTAAGACAAAGAATGTAAGGCTGATAGGTCTGAAGTCCTTGGCCAAAATATGCCCGTTTCTGCCTGGCTTGGATAGGAAGACGATTCTCGTCCCGCTCCAAGCGGAGCGGGACGTGCCTGACGGCTATGCTAGCCCTTAGTACTTTTGTTAGTGGACCCATCAGCGCACTCCTTCCCTCCTTTAGTAGGGCAGGAAAGATGCCATCTGGTCCCGGTGCCTTGTAGGGTTCAAAGGAATTGATCGCCCATTCGACCCCACATGGTTGTACGACTCTCGCCGCTAGGGACCATGCCTTAGGCTTATATTCAGCCCTGGGTGTCGTCCCATGTCTGCCGTTGGAGTCTTCCCGAAAACCTGAAAAGTGAGTCGACATTAGATGTTTGAGTGATTCATCAATAGATGTTGTGTACTTCCCATTGGGGAGCTTTTTTTTATACATGAAGAAACTCTCATGGGTCCCCCCGCTCCTCGGGGAAGGTGCGGGGGGTATGTCGGACTCTTACCGACTAAAACTCCACGGGTGTCCAGCCTCTGCGCGTTACTAGGGTTTGTCCAGGGAACGCTCATCGCATGACTTCTTGAGCAACCCCCGTGCCTGCCTACGAGACTCTTCCTTTGAGGATTGGGGCCTTAATTCTTATCCACATCCCTCCCGGTCCAGTTTCGTTCTGGCCTCGCCCGGAGCAGTCTCAGCTCCTGGGCGGGAAGGGGGACACCAGCCCCCTCCCGCCCCACCCCGCGAGGGCAGAGGTACGGTACATATCACCCGCATATCTCGCACCCCCCACGTCCCACATCCGGTGGCCCCCCCCTCCCGCCGTCAAGTGACCGGGGGAGAGAGTGGAGGGGCCGCCCGTCGCGAGACTCATGCCCGTGCGCCTGAAGCGCCGAAGCCTGGGCAAGGGGTTCGGTGATCCCAGCCGCTGAGCGGCTGGGGCCCCCACCCCCAGACCCATTCGTCCCGGCCCGCGCCGTTTGACGGACCTCTCGCTTAAGTCCGTCTCTCTCTGACGGCGCGGACCTTCCTGACTAGACAGCAGGGCGGGTGGAGTAGGGAGATCGAGGTCCCACGCAACTCCCCCCCCCCCGCCGCCGTTACGATTGACAGCCGAACGGCAACGCGGCAGCACCGCGGGTGGGACGTCCGCCCGCCGCAGCCCCGCTATCCGCACGGCCTCCAGAAGGGGGGCGAATGCCCCTCTTTTCTCTCTCTCTCCCCCCGCCTCCTTCTTCTGCCGCATTACTGCCTCGCAGAAGGCAGAGGCGGCCTTCCAGGCCCTCTCGCTCCCCACCATTTCGCGAACGAGAGTCGGAAACGAGAGGTCCCTCCTCACCACTGCAGTCAGGACTCCGCGCTCCGTGTCCCATGCAGGACACTCCTCCAGAGTGTGTTGCGCGAAGTCCCGAA